ATTAAAAAATAAATAAATAAAACAATTATTTTTAAATACCACTATTTTTCTTTTTTTTTTAAAAAAAAAAAAAAAAAATATTTATAATTATTGGATTATAAATATGTATATATATTTATGCTCTATTTTGGTGACCGATTAAATTAGGAGGCAAATATTTGAAATTATTGTGATAGAATCACAAAATTTGAGATTTGGTTTTAAAAAAAAAAAGAAAAATATATATATACAAAAATAAAAAAAAATGGAGTCATAATAATCACTAAACTATATTTAACAACATGATTTTTTTTTTTTTGATTAATTATGGTAAGATTGAGGCATTATTGTGTTATGTGTGGGTTTTATAAAATTTAATATAAGAATTTTTGATTTTTTATTCACATAAAAACCCAAAAAAAAAAAAAAAGAGATTTGGATGTGATTTATAAAAATAATTGTGTGTACCCACTAATGTGATGATGTTTTAATTTTAAAAACTAAAAACACACACTATTTGGGTGGTTTAATTAATTGTTTGCAAACAATGAAATAAAATTTAAAAAAAATAATGGGTGAAAATATGATCAAAAAAACACATATATAAAATTTCGTCAGTTGGTTTGATATTAAATATAGTTTTTTATTAATGTAATTATTATAAAGTGAATCTTGATAAAAAATATTGAGAAAAATTTTTTAATAGGTTACAACAAAAGCATTGATTGTTTTGGGATTTGTGAAAAAAAAAAAAAAAAATTTAAATCGTTGAATAAAAAAAATAGGGGTTTCTACCCACTCTCTACAAAAAAAAGATATTCCAAATTTAGGTTTGGTCAGGTAAATTTTCTTTTGAATCTAAAAATATGTTTATTTTTAACAATATTTAAAACTATATTTAAAACTATTTTATTTTTTTTAAAAAAAAAAATAAAATAAAATACACATAAAATTTATTAATAAAAATTAAAAAAATAAAAAATTTAATGTTGTTATACATTAAATATAAAACAACTATTTTATTAATAAAATATTTTTATTGATAAAGAAAAAAACAAAAAATACCAAAATTTACAACGAATATAAAATTGGAGGGGAATTATATTACAATGTGTGTGAAACGAATGTATATATTTTTTATTTTTTTAAAAAATGTGTGTGGTGGGTGTGTTTTATTAATTTTGATTGATTAATGTAAAAGAAAAAGAGTATCCAAGGCTATAAATGATTCATTACCTACAATTAAAATAAGATATAAATATAAAACTTTTTATTTTTTTATTTATTTTTTATTAAATATTGTGTGTATATCTAAAATAAATTTAAACTTTAATATAAATTGGTATATTCATAATTTTTTATATTGTTTTTCTTTTTTTTTTGTATTGTTTTTAATAAACTATATTTTTTTTTATTTTTTTTTTTATTTTTTTTTATTTTTAATAAATTAATTTACAAAAAAAAAAAAATTATAATAAAAATGATTTTTTTTTTTTTTTATGAATTATCTCTTTATATCCTATTTTGTTAATTTTTTTCTTTTTTTTTAATTGTTTTTTTCTATAAAAAATTATTTATACAAAGCTCCATATAAACTATTTGTAATTTGGTGTTTAAATATTAAAATACATGATTTGAATTTATTATTGTTATTTTTATTATTATTATTAGAAAAAAAACTTTTGCAATGATTTTAACTGATTGATTTAGTTTTTTTTTGAACAAATCTGTTTTTTTTTTTTAAACTTGCCCTAATACAAAAAAAGAGATTTTAACTACCATTTCTATCTCGCTTAGGTTCAAAACTAACTTTATTTAAATCTCCATATTATAATTTCTTTATATATAAATTAATTACTTAGTTAAACATATTTATAATAACAAATTAATTTTAGTTTTTTTAATAATTATATTAATATATTTGTTGATGCAAATTAGCTGTATTAGACACACAAAAATTATTATTTTAATTTTTTTTTTTTTTAAATTTTTCAATAAATTTTTTTTTTTTTTATAAATTTTTATCGTAATTTCAATTTTGGCGTTCATATGAATACAAAGTTTTTTTTAAATTACAAATAATATCCCAGTTTTTTTTTAATATAATTTTATAATAATATTATTTATTTTATTTATTTTTATTTTAAATTTATATATTTTTAATTTTGTATTTTGTAATATTAGATGGGTAAATTAAACGATTTAATTCAAGTATCATATGGAGCAAAAAATGTAATTTCATCAATGATCAAAAACTCTAGCTCAAGACATTCCTCTTCAGTCATTTTAAATAATTTAAATAATAACTCAAGTTTAAAAACAATATCAAATATTAAACCAAAAGATAGATTAAAAGATGAAAATGATTTAATAATTGATAATAAAAACAATAATAATAATAATAACGAATTATATGAAGATGAATCAAAAGATTTTTTAAACAATCACAAAAACCCAGAAATTAATTATATTAAATCACAAGGATATAAAATACCATCATCACAAACATCAAGATTTTGGGAATTCACAAAATTAGCAGTTGGTATTGGCGCAGGTTTTATTGGTGAAAAAACCAAACGTTCGGTTGGTGCAGGTGAAACAAATACAGGTTATAGCTCAATGTTTTCAGATAACAACGCCGAAAGAATGGCTGAATCATTTTCCAAAATGAGAGGTGCAGCATTAAAAATTGGTCAAATTATTAGTATTCAAGATGACTCGTTATTACCACCAAAATTTGTTGAAATTTTAGAGAGAGTTAGAAAGAGTGCAAATCCAATACCATTAGATCAATTACATAGTACTTTAGCACAGGAGTTGGGGGAAAATTGGCGTGATAAATTTCAATTATTTCAAGAGGAACCAATTGCAGCCGCTTCTATAGGTCAAGTTCATCGAGCCATTACAAAAGATGGTAGAGAAGTAGCTGTTAAAGTTCAATATCCAGGTGTTGCCGATAGTATTACTAGCGATATTAAGAATCTTGGTTCACTTTTAAAAATGGTTGTACCTGAAACAGCATACATCGAAAAATCTTTAGAGTCTGCCAGAAAAGAACTTTTGTTGGAAACAAATTACCTCAACGAAGCTCAAAATCAAAAGAATTTCAAAAATCTATTACAAGAGAATAAAAACAATAAATATACTAAAGACTTTTATGTACCAGATGTTATTGACGAATTAACAACTAAAAGAATTTTAACTACAGAATTTGTATATGGTATTTCAATTGATAAAATCAATCCCATCGATTATAATCAAGAAACTAGAAATTGGGTTTCAAAAAATATTTTATCACTATGTTTAGCCGAGCTTTTCCAATTCAATTTTATGCAAGTCGATCCAAACTCGGCCAATTTCGTTGTAGATTTCGATAAAAAGCGTATAAACCTTTTGGACTTTGGAGCCTGTAGATCTTACAATAAGCAATTTTTAAACAACTATTTCAAGAGTATTGAGGCTGGTACCGATGCAAATGACAAAGAAATTATTGAATACTCTGTAAAATTGGGTTATTTAAGTGGTGATGAAAATAAGTTTATGAACGACGCTCAATGCAAATCGATCAAGATCTTAGCCGAAGCATTTTCTCAAAAGTATTACGATGAAAATAATATTACCAAATATCCATTCTACGAAAAACAAATTGCAAAAAGAATTAGCGAATTAATACCAACAATGTTAAAAAATCGTTTAAAACCACCACCAGAAGAAACCTATTCACTCCATCGTAAATTATCTGGTAGCTATTTGGTGTGCAGTAAATTAAAAGCAAATTTTAATGGTGTTAAAATTTGGAATTATTATAAATCTCATTTTCAAATCTAAAATAAAAGTGTAATCTAAATTTTTTTTTTTTTTTTTTTTTTTTTTTTAAAAAAAACTAAAAATATAATTTACTTTTTATCCTATTTTTATTTATTTATTTATTTATTGTGGTGGTATATTTGGCGATGTTGTTTGTTGTGTTGTTTGTTGATTTGGTTGTGTTGGTGAAATGGTCATACTTTGTTGTATGGGTTGTTGTAAACCAAATTGTTGCGGTTGTTGATATTGGAATTGTTGTTGCTGTTGATAGTACATTGAAAGCTGTGGTGCTTGAATCATAGGAGAAATTGAAATTGGTTGTATTAAAGGAACCTGTGCCAGCATTTGATTTGTTGGTGATGTTGCAGTTGTAGTTGGTGACGTTATATTGGTTTGACTGCTAATAATTGGAGTAATATTTGCTGCAGTGGTATTAGATGATGCTTGTTGACCAACTGGTGATACAGTCGAATTTTTTGGTTCTCTTTTCTTTCTCTCTTTTTTTTCTTTTGGTTCTTTTTCTTTTTTTTCTTTTTTTGGTTTCTTTTCTTTTGGTTCTCTTTCTTTTTTCTCTTTTGGTTCTCTCTTACTAGTCGATGGGGAAATGGTGCCAGCTGATGCAGGTGAGTTTATTGATTGTGGCGATGTAAGAATAGATGATGCAGATTGTGGTGAATTTAAATTTATAAGTGGTGGTTGCTGTACATTTAGATTAAATGATTGATTTACTAATGGTGTTGAATTTGCTGTTGATGGCGTCGAAGCAGGCGTAAGTGATGATGGAGTTGATGATGGAGTTGATGTTGTTTTAGTGCCACCCTTCTTTTCCTTTTTAGATGCATTCTTTTTATCTGCCTTTTCTTGTATTCTCTTTTCCTTTGCCATTTTCTTTGAAAATTGTTGATGAATTGAGTTATTTAAACTTTGGCTAATAAAATCATTTAAATTACCAAAAGCTCCAGATGAATCCTCTGTTTTTTTTTCGGAATTGGGTGATGTTACACCAATTGTAGTAGATTGCATAATAGGTATACCTCCAAGATTGGGTGTAATATTTGGAGTATTTGTGCTGGTTGTGTTGGTCGGTGTTGTGCCTGCTATATTTTGTGTTTGGTGAGGTGAAATATTAATTGATGACATTAATGGTGTGCCTATAATTGGGTTTATTATTGGTGTATTACTATTTCCTGTTATTGTTGTGGTGGTTGTAGTGGTATTATGTTGTTGGGTTGTATTTGTTGAGGATGTAGATGACGATAATGATTTTTTAGTTGGTGCTGAGGATTTTATTGCTTTTTCAGGTGTTTTTTCTGTTGATGGAAGTGGAGTTTCTTTTTGTTTTTCGGGGAATTGTCCACTATAAATACCAAATGGAGTAGTTGATGAATTAGATTTATCGAAATGATCTTTGTGGTGTTGATGGTGATGGTGTGTTGTTGTAGTATGATGATCCCTACTACTTGAGTGATGATCTCTACTACTTGAATGACGATGACTGCTGCTTGAATGATGATGACTGCTGCTTGAATGGTGATGACGATGAGCAGTACTACTACTATCATCGGTACTATTTTGAATGGTTTCATTTTCTTCATCAACATGTAATGCTAAAGCCTCTGCTGGAATGGTTGCTTTTAAATGATCCAATTCATTCTTTAAGAAATCCCGTTGTGATTTTAAAATTTCGCAATGATACCTCTTTTCCATATAATACTTTTGAAGATCCAACAAAATTAAAACATCCTCTTTTAGATCATTATAATATAATTTTGAAAAGTTATTGGTTGGTCTGCCAATGTGAAGATCGAATAAAGTTGACTCGATTCTTGCGCCCTGTCTTGTATTTAAAGTGATTTGAGTATCGTCTTCTGTGGCACCACCTTGTTGTTGGGCATCCAATTCTGAATGTTTTCTTTTGTTTTTATTTTTACCAGTATAACTTCCTTGTACACCTCTATTTTGAAGATCATGTTGAGAATAATGTTTCATTGGGCCATTATTGATTGCAATTTGGGATACTTTGAAAACTGATTTACTCTCTTTACTGTGCTTTAATAAATGATTTTCTATAGTGTTATATTTTTCAACCAACTGTTCCTCTTCTGTAACCTCTTCTTTGCTTAAATGAAATAAAATATCACTTTGAAGTTTTCTTTGGGTTTCATAAACTTTGTTAAATGCATAGGTTGTTAATGGATTATGGAATGGATCTTCCTCTGGTTTTGTTCTTAACTCGATTAACTTTGATTGAATCCTATAGTATCTTTCTTTTAAATCCTCAACTGTTCTTTTAACTTGGCCCTCAAACCTATCAGCAATAACTATAAATCTTGTATCAAATCTTTTGCATAACTCTAAAAGTAAATCTGTATCTTCTCTTGACCATTTATCATCTAAAAACAATAATAAAAATGTTAGTTTATCATTTAGTTGGCCTTTTTGCTAATAAAAAGTATGTTATTTACCTCTTAAATATAAATCATACTCCTCTTCGTTATAGACCAAAATTTCCATTTTTTTATTAAACTTGCTATATTTATAATCATTTGGTTTTTCATTTGATTTCACCCAATGATGCAAAATTAAACCATCGTTTCTTGCATTATTTCTGAATGCCTTGTTGTTCCAGCTTACTTTTATTCTACGCTTTTCTTTTAAGCCCGATTTCGTTAATTGTTGGGGGGCAAATGTAATAGTTTCACCCTCTAAACTTTTAAATGTTTGTTGTAATTTTTCCATTGTTGTTTTAGGTGTATCTTTTGGTGTACGTTTCGGTGTATTACCCTGACCTGTTAAAATTGATTCTATTTCATTTTTACCACTATTTAAACCCGACTGCGCAACACTACCCAAAATATCCCTGACATCTGACATTATAATTTATTTGATTTAATAAAAAAAAAAAAAATATTTATTCAAAATCTTTATAAATATTATTTAGCTATTGTTCTATTGCTTTTATTATTCTATAATCATATGTATTTTATTATTAAAGTTTTAGTTTATTTATTATTGTGAAGTTAAATTTAATTTAATTTGTAAAAAAAAAATTAAAAAATTTTTTAAAAATTTCGAAAAAAATTTAAAAAAAAATTAAAAATTTATTTTGAAAATAAATTAATATATGATTTTGTTTAAAAAGTTATTATTATTACTTATTTAATTACTACCACAAAAGATAGATAAATATGATTTTTATTTGATTTTTTATTTGATTTTTATTTTATTTATTTTATTTGTCTATTATAATAAAAGCTATTTAATAAAATATATTAATTCACTTAATAATATTTATATTCGAAAATTAAATCTTGGTTTTGGAAAGAAAAAATTATAATAATATCGAATAATATAATATGAAAATAATAAAAAAATAAATAAATAATTAAAAAAAAAAATAAAAAAAAAAAAAAAATTTATTTTTAATTTTTTTTTTTTTTTTTTTTTTTTTTTTTTAAAAAAAAAATTTTTATAAATTTTTTTAAATTATTTTTATTATTTTTTTAAAATTATATTATTTTTTTAAATAAATATAATCAAATTTTTTTATTATTTATTTTTTTTTTTTTTAATTAATTATTTAAATATTTTTTATTTTTTTTTATTTGTATAATATCAAACACATCAATCTTAATAATAACAATAATAATAATAATAGTAATATAGTTTTATTAATAATAGTAATATTATTTATATATTTTTTTCATAATAACTTTATAATATATTTTTTTCTTTTACCGGGATTTTTATTTTTTGGAAAAATCATTTTAAATAAACATAGTAATAGTAACGGTATTGTATAAAACGTTTCAACAATAAAATAGTTTAGTAATAACAGTGACATAGTAATTTTTAAATAAATACATAAATTAAAAATGGAGAGAAAATTAGAATCATTATCTCTTCAAGAACAACAAAAACAACAACAACAACAAGAAATAGATCCTTCAAGAGTGGACGAGGAAGAGGATGAAGAAGAATGTGAAGAGGAATATGATGAAGAAGATGAAGAGTATGATGAAGAAGAGGAAGATGTTAACTTTTCAAAAGAAACCCTAGAAGCAGCAATGGCAACAAAAGTTTCAATTGAACAATACTATACATCACTTTTCAAATCATTAAAAGAAAGAGAAGAAAGGTATAGTTAATAATTTATAAACATTATTAACCCTCAAAAAAATAATATTTATTAATATTATTTTCTCTCTTTTTTATTTATTATTATTAACAGACGATGCTTTTTAGAAAAAAAAATGGAAGAGTTAAATTTAAGAGAAGAACAAAAAGCAATTAAAAGAAGAGAACTAGATAAAAAGGAAACTGAATATATTAAATCAAGAAGAATTAGATTAACTGGTCACTCATTTGAATCACTTAAAATTATTGGTAGAGGTGCTTTTGGTGAAGTTAGATTGGTTAAAATGAAAAAAAATAATAAATTTTTTGCAATGAAAAAATTAGATAAATCAAAAATGATTGAAAAACATCAGGTATGTATAGTTTAATAATAATAATAATTGTTGTGTAATATTTTTTTTCATTTTTTTTTTTCTATCACATTTTTTTTTCTCTCACAATTGTCTTTATACAAATTTTTGTCAATACCACCCAAAAAAAAAAAAAAAAAAAAAAAAAAAACTATATCTATTTCCACTCGGACACTATCTTTTTTTTATACAGAAAAAAAATCTTTCAACACTATTTTTTTTTGTCAATAATATCATTATAATCACTCCCCAACGATTGGATAACAGTTTAGACACAAAAAAACAAAAATGCAACGTCTCATGGTTTTTTTAATTTTTTTTTGGCCACTTATCGATAATATCAAAAAAAAAAATTTTTTTTTAAAAAATAATATATTTCCAAACCTTTTTTTATATTGTTGTAAAAAAACGAGCTGTTTAAAGATTTTTTTTTTCTGAAAAAATTGTATTTTTTTTTTTTTTTTTTAATTTTGTTCAGTTCGAAAATTTCTTTTATTTTTCGTTTATGCATTACAACGAGATAAATTTTTTAAAAAAAAAACTAACTCTCTTTAAATTATTTAATATAGACCGTCCATGTAAGAAGTGAACGTGATATTTTAGCAGACAGCAACAATATACATGGCAGTAATCCATGGATAGTTAGTTTATATTACTCTTTTCAAGTAAGTTATTATAATCAAATATATACAATATTTACACAGAGTTTTAATATTTATTTTAAAATTTTCAGGATGCAAATTATTTATATTTAATTATGGAATATGTTCCAGGTGGTGATATGATGACTCAACTAATTAAATATGATACATTTACAGAAGACGCTACAAGATTTTATATAGCAGAAACAGTTTTGGCACTTCACTCGATTCATAAACTAAGTTATATTCACAGAGATATTAAACCAGATAATTTATTAATCGATTCCAAAGGTCATATCAAAGTTAGTGATTTCGGTTTGTGTACAGGTTTACAGACAAATAGAGTTCCAACATTAGCAGAAATCTATAAGAAATATGAAGGTGATAATATTAGAGACGAAGATACAATTTCAACTAGATCAGCAAGATTCGATTCATGGAAGAGACAGAGAAGAGTTTTAGCTTACTCAAATGTTGGTACACCAGATTATACTGCACCAGAAGTTTTAATGAAGGATGGTTATAGTGCCGAATGTGATTGGTGGAGTGTAGGTGTCATTATGTTTGAAATGTTAGTCGGTTACCCTCCATTCTGCTCAGAGTCCATTAGAGAAACTTATCACAAAATTATGAATTGGAAGCAAACTCTTCCAAAGATTATGGAAGAGGCCAAAGCTGAAGTTAACCTTAGTGCCGAGGCTCAAGATTTAATTGAACGTTTCCTTACTGATCCATTAAACCGTATTGGTTTTAATGGTGTCGAAGAGATTCAATCTCACCCATTCTTCAGAGGTGTCGATTGGAAGAATATTAGACATGGTAAAACTCCAATCATTCCAACCATTACCTCACCAACTGACACCCAAAACTTTGACCACTATGACGAAGAGGAACCATCTCATCACCCAGAACCAATGCAACCAGTCCAATCATCCTCATCAAAATCAAGAAGAAAGATTACATCATTCGATATTCCATTTATTGGTTACACATATCGTAATTTTGATGCTATGAGAGATGCTTTTGGCTCAGTTTCAAGTAAAGATAGTTTATATGGTTCAATTAATAGCAGAGAATCTCTAGCAAATATGTAATTAAAATAAAATAAAATAATAATAATAATAATAATTTAAAACTCAATTACTACTTTTCTTTTTTATTAAAAAAAAAAAAATATAATATTAAAATACAAAAGAAATATCTAGAGAATCAATTACAAATAATAATGCAAAAAAAAAAAAAAAGAAACAAAAAATTTCTTTTTATCTTTATATCAAATAACAATAACAAAAAACTATTTATTATATAAACCATTTATTAAAGTCCCATTTTATTAATACTTCAATAACACAAAAATAAAAATTAATATAAATTTTAACAAATAATGATTTTTTTTATAAATAATAATTTAAACTTTATTTTTATACTTATACAAAATTAATAAATAAATAAATACTTTTTTTAAATTTTTTTTTTTTTTATAAACAAGTAAATATAAATAATTATTATTTTATAATTATCATGAAAATTATTATACAAAAATTATTTACTTTTTTTTTTCTTTATTTTGGTTTATTATGATGATTATGACTATTATACTGTTTTGTTTAAAGAGATGTTGACTATTTTAAATTATTGTTAACATTTGAAATCAAATTTAAATCGATTCTTTTTTATCATTATTTAGTTATTTAAGAATCGTTATCATTATTGTGGCTACCGTTATAAGTTTGGTTATGGTGAATTTGTTGTAGTGGTTGATGATGATGATGATGGTGGTGATGTAATGGTTGTAAATGATGGTGAGGTAAATAAAGTTGATGGGGATGTGCAGGTATTATTTGACTGGGTGAATCGTGATAGTATTGTTGGTGTTGTGACATCCCATCCATGTGAGATGGTTGGAATCCGTGAGCCCAAATGGGAGAATTTTGATATTGATCCATTGATGAGGACATATGGTTAGGAATTGGAGGTAGAGGTATATTTGGGGATGGTATGCTCGAGTTATTATTGTAGTTTAGGTTATTATAGATATTACTATTATTACTATTATTATTACTATTCATATTAAAATTATTTTGATTTAAATTATTGTTTTGGTGATAGTTATTTAAATTATAGTTTTGGTTTCCGTTTTGATTTCCTGAATTATAATTATCATCTTTTTTTTCTATACTTTTATTCTTTTTATTAATACCATTCTTTATATTGTTTGTTGTGTTTGTGGAGTTTCTTGAAGGGTTTGATGAAGAGTTTGTTGATTTCTTTTTAACGGTGGTATTAATATTATTATTCATATTATTATTGTTCATATTATTGTTTTCTTTTAAATTTTTTAAATTTCCTAAAGGAATTATTTGATTTGGTGAAGAGGATAGATTTGATGATGTTGTATTTGATTGGTTTGGTGAGGGTGATGGGTATGGTGATTTTCTTGGAGTGGAATTTGTTTTATTGTTTCTATTTGCTGGGGTGGCATTGTGTTTACCATTATTGTGAGCAAAAAACTCGACAGTTTTACCTTCATAAGTGCTACCCTCTTTGCTTTGAGAGGCCATTACAATGCATAGACGTTTAGAGATCTTTGCAAGCTTCAATTCAAATTCCAATGTCGAAATTGGATGTTGAGATTGAGAATATCTGTACACTCTTACAGACTCTACGCTTAAACATTGTGGGTCACTCGAAGGTGGTGGGGGAGAACCATCTTTTGGAATATGAGGTGATGGACGAGAAGATGGGGGTGTGACGGAGATTGAAATTGAAAATGATGGTGGTACGGCTGATGGGAAAATATTTGGAGTGCCGACTGGTGATGGGGTTTGTGATGGTGAGTTGCTTGGTGAAGTGGTTGGTGATGATAACGAAAAGTTTGGTGAGGTTCCATTACTATTATTATTGTTATTATTGTTATTATTACCGTTGTTTATTGATAAATTTGTTGTGTTTATTAGTTGGCTTCCTTGTGAAGATGACGTAAAATTGAAAACAGATGAGTTTGGTGAGTTTGAAATTAAAGTTGTTGTAGATGTAGGTGATGTATTTGTCGAAGATGATGGTGAGGAGGAAGAAGATGATCCGTTTGAAATTGAGTTTGATGAAACTGATGGTGACGTTGAGGCAACAGATGACGAACCACTATTACTACTATTATTATTATTATTATTATTATTATTATTATTATTTCCACTATTGCTATTACTATTTATTGCAGCAGAAGCAGCAGATTGTTGACCTCTTTTTGTAGTTTGGTTTTCTTGATCTAACAAGGCAACTTGTAAACCAACTTTTAATAATTCTTTTTCACAATAAACAATCATTTTTAGTCTTTTCCCTTTACCTTCAGTAACACGAATATGATCACCTTTTAAAATTGGCATCCAGGTACCTTTTGATCCCCTTGGTTTATGATAGAGATCAATTCTCATACCAACAAATGGTGAGTTACCAGTAATTTGGGAAACCACTGGAATTCCCGGTGCGGTATATTGTGATGGACAATAAAGCTGAGGAATTTTACTTGCTGTTGATTCTAAATATTCAACTTGTCCAGTGTTTGGCATTGATGCAGATATTTGATTGGGTGAAATATCATAGTTATAGGTAGAGGAAAAATTTACATTGTCATTATTATTATTATTGTTATTATTATTGCCAAGATAAAGTAGAGGATTTGGTATGGATGGATTAATAAGTCTTTGTTGGTTCCAATATTTTTGTTGTGAACTATTTGATTCAGACATGTAGTTGTTTAGGCTTGTATTAATTCCACTACCATTAAAATATTTATTATAATTTAATTGATTGTTTGATTGTGATGGTGAAGATTGTTGGTGCGAGTTTGATTGACTATGGTTGTTATGGTTACTACTATTGTTATTGTTGTTGCTATGTGAAGTTGGTGAACCTGGACCTTGAATTGATGTTTGTGAAATTTGGTATTGTGAAATCTGTTGGTGAACCTGGCTCAGGTGGTTTGGGTATGATTGTGGAATTTGAACATTTTGTTGAATTGTTTGTTGTTGGTATTGTGAATAACCTTGTTGATATGGTTGGTGTGGTTGATATACATTTGACATGTTATTTATTGGTTCAAAGTTATTCCTCGAGTTATTATTAAAACTATAATTATTTTGTGGAGGACTTGGTATTAAATGTAGTTGATCTGAATCTTCTTTTTTAATTGAAAACTCTTTAGAATTCATTTGCTCTATAAATTTTTAAAGTTTAGTATATAGTTTAAAATTTCTATAAATAATAAAATATAGTGCTTACCCCAAAAAGAATTTGGTGCTAGATTTTGCTCTATACCTGAAGAGTGATGGCCAACATAACCTTGATTCTTCATGAGTTGTTAAATATCTTTTTTTTTATAAAATAATTTACAATTTTAATAAATAAATAAATAAATAAATAAATAAATAAATAAATAAATAAATAAATAAATAAATAAATAATTTGTTTTTTAATAAATATATAAACAAAAATATATAAATAAATAAATAAATAATAAATAAATAAATAATTTAATAAATAAAATAAATAAATAAATAAATAAATAAAACTAAAACTTTTGATACATAAAAATAGTATACAAATTTAAATAAATAAATAAATAAATAAAAAATTAACAATCTTTTTTAAATATACATGTATTTGAGTTTTGAAGAAATGAAAAATAAGAAAAAGAAATTTTTTTTTCTTTTTTTGATTTTTTTTTCTTTTAAAATATATATTTTTGTGGGTGTATGGGCAAAACTATAGATATTATTGATGATTGAGAAAAAAAAAATTTTAAAAAAGAAAAAAAAAAAATAAAAAAATCCACAACCATACAAAAATTGATTGAAAAAAGTGATGATTGAAAAAAAAGGTGGAATAAAAATATTTAAAAAGATTAAAACTAGGTTTTTTTAATATCGTTTTGCTGTTAAAAATTATTATATATATATAGAAATAATAATAAAAATAAAAAAAAAATAAAAAACAAAAAAGAATAAAAAAGATTTATTGTTTGTTATTTATTTATTAAATTTTATAACATTAAAATAAAATAAAATTAATTAATTAAATTTTAAAAATATATAAACAAACAAAAAAAGAAAAAAATAAAAAAATAATTATAATATTTTTAAAAAAAAATTGGAAAAAAATACAATACTA